CTGTGTGAGCATCTGAATCCAAGCTGGGCTCATCTCAGGGCTTCTGACATTAGAAGTCTAAGGAGAGGAGCAGGGTAGAGAGGAGTAAAGTAGGGGATAGCAGAGTAGAGCGAAGCAGTGTGGAGGGAAGCGGGTATAGGGGAGCAGGGTGGAGGGGGGCAAAATGTAGAGAGCTGGTCAAACAAGCTTAATAGGAAACCAGTGCCTTAATGCACAGGGAGAAAGAGAGATGCTGAGTCTGTGGGTTATCTCCTGCTGCTACCACCTGTGTTGGCCTAGCCTACATGGTAATTAAGTCAGGCTTGGGACAGAAAAGGCTGAAAGCTATTATTTCTGGTAGGATTCTGGAAGAAGCAACAATGTTTTATGATCCTGTTAACAGCATATCTCAGAGAAAAAACTCCTTTTCCTCCAGCAAGTAGCACTCCAGATGGGTTCAGCTGCACAGAGGATGCTGTCCAAGGGGAGGATAGTGTCCAGAGGAGAGTACTGCCCAGGGAAGAGCAGAGGCCAGGGGCAGTAGAGTCTGGGGGAGCAGTGCCCAGTGAGGAGTAGTGCTCAGGATCACTGTGGGACTGGGGAGGCTGCAGCAGGAGAGGGCACCACCAAGTGACAGGTCCCACTGGTAGTCCAAGAGCTAATTTATGATCACTTGGGCTGTCCATAAGCACTCTGAGGGAGTGCTTCTTCAGCCAGTGAGTCACTGCTGTGTGTCCAGCACCTCACACAGGCCCTGCCATGTGAAGGCTGGTTGTCTTGAATTGGGGGAGTGGTGTGAAGGAAATATTGCACTTCATCAGTTCTCCCCAGTAAGAGCGGTGTGTGTGTGTGTGTGTGTGTGTGTCTTTGAAAGTCAGCAGCCTCAGCTCCATGGCCCTGGGTGTCCTGGAGCCCCTGTCTCACAGCTGAGATCTGTGCTTATTTCTTCTGGTCTTGTGGGGATGCTCTTCTTTGTGGAAGGGGGAGACCTGCATAGGCTCAGGCACTTCCTGCCAGTGTGACCTTGGCTTGACTTTGAGGAGGCTATCAGGATAGAAGCAGGTACAACAAGGAGAATGTAGGCCTGAAGACACAAACCAGGGTTCAAATCCCAGCTCTAAGAGTTCCTGGCTTTTAGCTCCTGAGCTAAGTCTATGAGGCCTTCTACAGCCTCTGTCATCCTCTTTGCAAAAGTAGAGATAAAAATATACTAAGTGCAAGTCCTGAGCCCAGAGCTGGCATGGGCAGGTGCATCAACCTTTCCCTCTACCTCTCACATCTCCATCTCTCCTTTCCTTCACTCCCTGCTTCCTCATCCCTGTCTTTCTTGATGCCTGTGTGGTGCTTTCTGCTGGGTATCTCTGAATCTCTCTGGAGGGGCGGATGGTCTTCCTTTGTCCTTGGTCCAGAGGGTAGATCACAATGAGGAGCAGAAAATAGCTCTTACCCCTGCCAGCTCACTGTATAACTGGGCTGCTTCACTTTGCTGGGCTGAAGCTTCTTCATATATGTGATAGCAATCATTTAGGCACTCTGCCGTGTTAAAGGCAGTGTAAATGTGGAGGTCATTAGGCAAAGGGCTAGTTGAACCATGTAAGGGAGATTCCAGGGGATGGAAGGATGGAAGGATGCAAGGAGAACTTGCAGTCCTTTGCTCTAGCTGTGAGTGAACAAACTGGCAGATTGAATGGAAAGAAGAACCTAGTGAAATGTAAGCCAGAGAAGAGTCTGTGGTCTCTTCTTGTAGGCTCTATCCCAGCACATCTGCCCAAATCCATGTGTCCTGAGCCACAAGTGATGATGGCCTCCAGGGATGACTGAGGCCTTGTCCCTAGATAGCTCAAGCTGTCCCACAGGCAGCTCAATGTAAAAGACCAGTGAACTCCCAAGGTCAGGCAGACTGTAGCATCCATTAAAGGCAGAAAGGTCAGAATCTGGGAGCCATCAGTACCTGGGAGCAGAGAAAATGGTGTCAGATTTTGTTTGTGGAACTGAGGGTGGGGCCAGCCTGGGTAATCATCAGAGGGTTGAGGACATGAGTGGCCCTGAGAGTGGTTGAGTAGACTTTGAGATTTAGCTGGGCATGGTGGTGGGAGTGTCCAGGAAGAGTTGCTTGGACTGCATCATGTAGACCCTGGTGGCAGGTGGAGAGGATCAAAGTAATTTTATCTCTCAGTGACAGCCTAGGCTTTAACAACTGGCCCTGTTGGCTACTATATGGAGAAAGAAAACCTCCCCTGCCCTGAACCATGGGAGGATAAGAAGGCAGGGACAGCTGCCATTATGCTCTTATAAAGATCTATGCAGCTATATGGATAAGGACACATCTTGATAAGGCCATGATGGTGAGGTTGGCAAGAACTGGAAGCCATTAGGACCAGGTCTCCTAAAGTGAAATTTTGGAGTTTATCATTAAGTGAAACTTCCCATACAGCCACAGAGACACAACACCAGGACTTAGAGAAGAAGCTCAGCTTATTACTCAATTTTCTATTTGAACAACATTGTTGTGTCACATTACCTGCCATGCACCAGTGCCATGAACTGATATTTTCTGTAATCTACTAATTAAACAGTAATGTTCTATGGTATTTTTGTGTTAAAATTGTTTGTTGGCTCAATGTTATAATTTAATATAAGCCAATATCTATAACTATGTTGTTGTTGTTGTCATGTGCTGTTGAGTCGGTCCTGACTCATAGTGACCTCTCCTTGGGTTTCCAAGGCAGTATCACTACGGAAGTAGATTGCCCAACCTTCCTTCTGAGGAGTGGCTGGTGGGTTTGAACTGACAGCCTTCTGGTTAGTGGTCAAGTGCCTTAGCCACTATGCTACCAGAGCTCCTATCTGTAACTATAGATATCTATATCTACATCTATATATGGGTGTCTATATATGAATATAGATATATATTAAAAAAAAAAAGCCACAAAACTCAGTGCCATCAAGTTAATTCTGACTCATAGCAACCTCCATTGGTTTTCCGAGGTGGTAAATCTTTATGCAAGTAGATTGCCCCATCTTCTTCCCATGGAGCAGCTGGTGAGTTTAAACTGCCAACCTTGTGGTTAGCAGTCAAATGTCTTAGGCACTGCACCACCAGAGCTCCTTATAGCTA